AGAACCATCAAGGTAAACCGAATGCCCACTCCATAGAGCGAGTGTTTCGCGACGGGTGCACTCGAGGACTCGAGGAGTCAGTTCAGTACCATTGCGCCGGTACCACCGTCCGTTTCTCGCAAAGAGCCCACATTCTCATTGAACTATGTCTGAGTAAAGTGGACCCAAATCGGTACAGTAGCCATAGCATTTCACTTTCGAATCGAATTGTTACACTTTTATGTGTCTGAGTAGAACGGCGGCTCCGTGATACAGGGTGTTTGCGTTGGCCCGTGCCCATTCGACGGAAAATGAAGGTTATTTTTGGTGCGGTGTGGTGTTGTCTGTTGGTGGCGAATTGTGTTGCTAAAGGTGAGTGCCACGGACTGGGGTCGATGCGTCTTTGTTATTTTGCGCACTGTTTTCCCATTAAATAGATAGTTTTTTTCTATATGGGCTCATTATTTGCCTTTGCTCAACACCATTCGTTGTTGGCAATACATTAAAGCGAAATGTCAAGGATATCGACGCGCCTTTGATTCCAGTTGTTTGCATTTTTCTTCAAATAGACAAGAACACCCAGCCAGTTGGTTTAGTTAGTGTCTTTTAAGACCTGAGATAGTCAAACAGCCATACGGTTCAAGGTTTACGCATCGAAGCAATTTATTGTTTATTGGCGTCATCCCTATGGCCTCGCAGGTGACGTCGTCGTTGTGCAAAAATCATCTTTGCCATTGTCACCAGTGTAATTGGCCAGGGCGTAAAATGATGGATATTAGCACTGATTGGCTCGGATAGAAAAGTCGAAGTCGAAACGGATCCGACTTGGTTGCAGCCAGTTCGATGATCTCACCAATTAAAATACCGGTTTCCACTTTTGGGGGTCGCTCGATCTGCATATGTGGTTCTAAGCCAACACGATCGGTTAGGATCCGCAAATTGAGCGCCTACGTGATCAAATCAAAATTTTGAATAAATGTCGATAAACGCACAAGAATGTCATGAAAACAATTGCGGATTATTAATTGCCTGATGAAAATAATCAAATAAATGTCCATCGATGGGGCGAATTGGTTGAATCAATTATTTACTTTTCAGGTCTCGTTCGGTTTTTGGGACCGAAATTAATTGGAAAACCACAAAATCGCTTCAAATTTATCGTTAAACGGGCAAAATGCAAAAAATACGTTCTGCAGTATTGTTTAACGATTTTCCCGGGCAATTAAATTGTTTTGTCAAATTATCAAGCTCGCTTTGCTTCCGATCGGGGTTTTATTTGAACGACTGATTTAACTGCAGGAAAAACATTCAACGTGTTCCATTATGCCGAGCGAATGGAATCCAAGCAACCTGTGAATGGCCAAGTGCCTGTTACCTACATGTGAAAGATCCAGAGGCTGCAGCAGCGCGCATTGTAATAAACAGAATAGAAGTAAATTATCGAGTTATCAACGAAGTTGTCAAGAAAACGGCCGCCTCGTAATGCATAAATCACGAGCTTTATGGAAAATCGGACGGAAATGTAATCTGCAAAATTGCCGTTTGGCGCATCGAAAATTGCATCGAGAACGCGTTTATTTAAACTTTAATAGTATGGCGATGATGTCGTGAAAATTGGAAAAAAATTCGAAAAACAGCAGGTACGCGATCGGGGCTTTTGACATCTACAACGGGTTCTTTGTCCATTGGCAGTTCAGACGCATGCTGTCAGCCAGTTGTCAGCTTATACGTATTAAACGTCAATTTATCCCCACCTCGTTCATAATTGATGCGACCGATTTCCTTCGAACGACTCATTGGCGCTCGATCAATTAATTATCGATTGATTCGGTTGAGGCTGATCGATCACTCTCGAAAAATCGTCGGCTACTTGTCAATTGCACGAAGACTGGGTCATTTTTTTTGTGGCCTGTCGGGTTACTTGCATGGAATCTGGGCAGTACCGATGTGGAACTAATCGCTTTATGGTTGTCTGCCCCAATGGACACACCCAGACGCGAAGATGCCACTTGCAAGGCGATTAATAACCGTGTACAGTGATTTACTGCTCAGATTCAACTGATTGGTTAATTTCCAAAAAAGTCCAATTTTATTGGAACCACATGAGTTGAGAGGTGCATGCTGCTGAAAGAAGCAAGAGAATTTGAAAATTCCAGGAGAATTATTGGGAAGGATTCCCCAAGATAATGGACAGCGAGTTACAGTAGGCCTGGGTAACACTGTGTTGTGTGACACTTTTGTGCCGCTCTATGCGTCAATGCGTTATAACACCTCGCGTCTTACGTCTTGAATAACACTTTTTAAACTCATTCAAGATGCCAACTTCGGGTTGTAAGTTCCGGGTGAAGGCGGCGCGCACTGCGCCACTCAACATCCTCTACCACTGAGGTGTAGAAGAATAGGCGCAAGCCTTCAATCAAGAAGGAGGAGAAAAAGAAGAAGACGTTGTTGCCATTGCGAAAAGGAGAGGCCAGTTAATTAACTGCAAACCGTCACCGATGCACATAAAAAGCGCATCCAACTATTAAACAAATCAGTTAATAATTGACGATCGTGGACAGTAAATCATCGGCAATGGGCATATTAAACAACATCACATGTGTATTAAAGTATTACAAAAGTAACGGAACCGATCAGCTCAGCTTGGTACCATCGCAGAATTCTCCTTTCGACCAGTATCGTCGTCACTATTTATGAACCAGACACACACAGACATGGGCGGCTCCTCCGTTATTCCCCTAAATTAACTAACTGCTTGATAATGATCATTATTTGCATAAGATCACCGCAATTACTTACAAATGTTCGCTAATTAATTAATCGTTAATTGGGGGATCGTTGCCAGTTGGGTTTAAGCAAACATCCAGCTCTCCAAGCGGTTAACGATTTTACAGTGAAACTCTCCAATGAGCAGACGTCACAAGCGTCAAGTGTCAAATTGACTGGTAGAGACACTGGTGACAGTTAATAAGAGTCAATCATTTCGGTGCATTAAACGAGCGACGGATGGCCAACTCGATCATATTAATACAATCCTCTTCCTCAGGCCGGCAATAGCCCATAATTACATATGCATAAATAAAAACGTTAACGGTGCTTTTAATTCGTGCTATCGATCAAGCCGTTGAATTGGACTGGAAGAGTTACAATATTTAATATACTTGAGCAATGGCTTCGACAAAAAACCGCAATTTTGACGGATTGATTGATGGAAATCACGTTTGCACTTTTAAAACGAGATCGATTATTATTAAAATTCACGACGAAAAAAACTGGTTGAGTTTACAATCAGGAAATAGTGACTTCTTTCGGTCAAGGGCGATTCACCTCACTGATTCGGTTTGATCGTAAACGACCAGATGTGTGTCAAATCAACAACAAAAAACCCATTTGATGGGTTTTTAAAGTATACTGGGTGTTCAACTCAATTGCTAAACTGATGTTTTGTTTGTGTGTTATTTGGTCGAGCGAGGCGAAACTCAGTTAATCCGCCTTGCTCGAATTGAAACGATAAGCAAAGTTCTGCAATCAATATTGGATATTGGGCGGCTTTGCTTTGAGCCCCCCTGTTCGGACGGCTGCATTGTTTGCGCAAATTTATTAGGAAACCGCGTAATCCGTTGCGATGCATCTCTTTGATCGATCAGTGGCGCATCCACTCGCCGCACAGTGTGTAAAAAAACTTTCTTGTTCGTCAACCTAATCTCTCAAGATTGGGCTGATTTGGATGAAATTTGCCCAACAGTACTGAACGTACTGTGGAATAAAGGAAAATATAAGTAGGACCTAATAGTAGTTTTCGATACAAGGACGAAAAATGTTCTTTTTTCGAACGACGACGGCGTTTCCGACAATCCGTCAGTAGTTCGAAAAACAAATTTTCGCCCTCGTATCGAACACTATTTTTTATTCGAATGAAAGATTACACGAATAATAAAATGCATCGATTTCATATTTAAAATTTTGTGGCAATGTCATTTTTTGAATTGTCATGTTTTGAAGTTTGTAATTAAGTTTAAGTACCTTTTCAACTTGAAACACCTGTGGTCTTGGGATGGTGTATGCATGTTGCATACTCTGCATGACATTTGCGCTTCTTAAAAAGATCGTGTTTTATGAACGCTAAAGAAAAGTGCTTCTTTTTGATCATCGCTTCTGTTCGCAAAATGGCACTTTTTGATTCATTCGAATAAAAAAATGATTTCCACAGCGGGATGGCTTTCATGAGGAAATAGCAAGGGAAGATTTTTTTGCGCCAACAATGTTGCTGAACTCAAATATACGTACAAAAAGCGCCTTCGGATTATGATTTTTTTGGTCAAAATCGGTTAAACTCTGAAAACCGTGATTTTTATTGGTAAGGTGACAATTTTTTATTAATATTAATTTTTTTCCACACTGTGCGCCGTCTATGCTAACAATTGTTGATCTGTTTTCTTCCACATCGTTCTTCTATGGGAAGTCAACAGGTGGTTCAAATGACAAAAATTCAGCTGCTGCATCAATCCTTAGCCAAAGCCTTACAAGGCTAATAATCTCCAGGCAACATCTCGCGTTTAATAATAATTGGGTAATCGGGATCGGGGGGTTTTTCGCTGTTTGCCGCCGAAAGCTCATTAAAGGAAAAGGGGGGGAAAGTTGAATACGGCTGAGCTGCCGGATTTATTAAATTTTACATAAGCCAAATTACCTGAACGTCTTCGGGGAATTTGATGAGATTCGCGCACCCCCGGGGGTGCGTTTCTCCCCATCATGAATTTTTAACAAGTTCGCGTAGCTACTTTAAAACTTCAATATGGCGCGTTGGGGTTACTTCGGGCCCTTTAGACATCAACATCTACGATTCAAACGGATCAACCAGAGCTGCGTTGAACGCGCCAACTGTGCTTTAGTTATTACCAAATCGAGCAAAAAACACTAGTCGACTTATTAATAACAAATACCCTGGAAGGCATGTTGATGAACTCTCCATCTTACGCATGTAGAGAACCGCATAAATGGCTTATTAACTTATTCCGAGAGATTTCTCCGCGCTTATTGGCGTGCTGACAAAATTGCCGACCCCGGCATCTGTATAATTTCACCGATATTCCCATTTCGAGCAGCGTAATTTACCCACGCAAGTGTTGCTCCCTTTCTAGTCGAGTTACTAAATATTGGATTATACAGGGTGATATGAAAATATACACTAACAACTTAGGTATCGGCAAAAAACTAAATCGGAAATACGGCAACAATGCGTTCGGTTGCCACTACATATGAGCTGTTTCCCATTAAGATGACGCAAATACCTGGTGCTTTATGCGTAAATCGACGAAGTAGCAGCTGCAATTAGGAGACAAATACCGAAAACAGAGATGRTTTTACTGATG